AAATGTATTTTAGATAAAATAAATGAAAATATACTTATGCGATTTGCTGAATCAATTTTTTGAAAAAAAAGTTTCTAATTTTCATACTTTTTGACAACCATTTTTATCTAATTATCTAATAATCCGCTAAATCGATACAGATAAATTACACAGCTATAAAAATTATCTGTTTATCTGAACAGATAGGCAGATCCAATCTCTATTATATTTTATTGAATAAATATCTTGATTTTTACAAAACAAATTACCATTGCTTCTTTTACCTGACCTTATATACCTCAGAACTGTACTAATTTGTATACCTCTAGGAACTTTAGCATACCACATTGGTTCTGTTCATCTAAAGTACCTCCCTGCTATTAGTTTTCCATCTTTATCTTTCTCCTAAGGTAGAAACGATATATGAGAATATACATTTGATCTGTGGGTCTATAGCACAGTGGTTAGTGCTCCACAGGTCAAATCACAAGATACCAGTTCAATTTTAAGTGAAAGCAATTAAATAGAATTAATATGATACCTGATGCTATAATCTGAAATATACTGTTTCTTATAGAAAGCTGATTCACATGCTGATCCAGTGGGCATTAAGATTGTGATTTTCAAAGAAAATGATGTGACATGATAATTGTCCAGTCAGTGCATGATGATTGTTATAAAAAACAGGAAGTATAAAATGTTTAGATATATAGATAATATTATTATTTCTTAATTTGTTATGACTATTTTTCAATAATATAATATTTTTTACAAAAATGTTATGTTTTATATTTTGATAATGCAAGTTATATTATTAAGTCTTTTCAAAATTTAAATTTTTTTTCATAATATGTATCATAATACATGCTTAGCTCATATTTATAGTTTAGTAGGAAGGACATGGTTAGATTATTCACATTTTAAATTATTAGATAGTGTTATTTCTTTTATTAAAACTTTATTTGCTAATTGTTTGTTATATAAATATAGATGGATTTATTATTTTTCTTCTAGTACAAATACTTTACACCCTTTATCTATAAAAACAAAGTGGAATTCTTAGTTGAAATTTATTTTTTGGGTTAATCAAAATATTTCTTTTCTTATCACTTTTTATTAAAAAGTTTTGATTTAAATAATTACTGGATAGAAAAAAAAAATACATTACCTATTTTAGCTAAAATAGCATTATTATATATTTGGTTACCTGTTTTGGGTGTAGATGTTGAACATAGTTTTTCAGCTTACAAAAATATTCTTAGTGATTGTAGAAGATGTCTTTCAGAACACTCCATTGTAAGGCTAAATTTCTTATATTATAATGCTATTAATTAATAAATATGCTATGTACGTATATGGTATCTTACTATTAAATGCATGCTATAGTATTAACGGTTATCTTAATCATAAATGTTAAGGAGTTGAAAGAGATAAAAGATTTTAATTATCTATTCGTTAATAAAAAACTTATAATTAAGCAAAGAATAATTTTACAAGCAATATAAATATAACGTTTATAATAAAGAAAGTGAAAAATTACTATCATGTATTCGATGCTACGTTTATCTAAGATGATTTAAATCTTAACTATTTTCACCGCTATTTATTTTAAAGTACTGCCGCAGAATCCGCATTTTTTGATGATCATCGCAGCCGAAACTGACCGTTATCGCACACCCTAGCTCAAAGCACGATATACAGTACGTACAGATAGTCCAAAATTACGTTACGTCACATGTACAGTATATCTTATTTCATATGCAGTGCTATTTTCATCTCGCGATGTATGGATAAATATACAGTACATACAAAAAAACATGATTTCAAGCGAAAACAGGTCTTTAATTACAAAGCAAATCACGATTACTTGAAGAGTCTGTCATCAAATAATTTTTTGAGACATGAGGCTCTTAAACCTTTGTGTGCATCAATAAAAAACTTAATATTTTACTCAGAACACAACAAAACTGATTTCAAAAAGAAAATATCAAAATATAGGTATCATAGCGAAAAAGAAAAATGAAGAGAGATGGAGAATAAAATAGAATTAAAAATAAAATATAATATAAATTCAAGATAAATTCAAGACATTGAAAGAGAAAAAATATAAGCGTTAATAGTAAAACTAGGACAAATTGGTTCTCTGTCGTTTTCTTGATGGAGATGTGTGTCTCTCTGCATATCGCTCTTCGACGACTTCTAATTGATCGTCAAAATAAAAATCAGAACCTTCGACTTTTTGTTGTCTTCTTGGTAAAACCAAATCTTTTTCTGCGTGTCTTTCTTCGATTGCTTCATGTCTATTGCTAAAATTATTAAATCTAGAGCTTTCGGTATTCTGTTGTCTTTTCGATGGGGTTGATTCGATCATTCCATATCTTGATTCGACAGCCTCGAGTTGAATTTCAGTAGAACCTTCGGAAGTACCAGATTTAAATTCATTTCCAGGATAATTCCATTCTATTTCGGAAGCTAGAATATGCACCATATTGTTTTTGACAATTCTAAATCTTCCCAAGGTCGAAAAGATTGTCTTTTTTAAGTGGTTTTTTATTTGACTATATCGAGGAATAGATGGGTTAAAGGATACGATAACATTTGAATCGATGTTTTTGCAATTATTTACACCATTATACAACTTCCTGGAGAGCATTAAACTATCTCTTAAACCCTTTTCATCAGATTGATAAGAGTTTGCGACTACCGGAGCTGAAAACAATAATAGTGGTGACGCACGTGGCAAGCTTTCGCGCGTAAGTTTGTTTTCACTTGAGGAAATTAAGATAGGCACTGATTGTGTCAAGGTAAGCTATAGAGTATTATTATTTAAAAAATGTTTTTTTTTTTTAATAATCAATATGTTGTATATACGGTTATTGATTAATCATATAAATTATATTACTTACATATTCAGAGCCTTCGAGTACATGGCGTCCAACCATTAATACAACGGAGTTTTTCCCGAACTCAAGAATCAAGTTATCAGAGTTTCCGATATATCCTCTATAGATGATTTCTTTAAAATTGTCTTTCTCGGCATCTTCTCTATACAGAGCACTGCCGGTTATACTTTTTTCGTTTCGCGTAACACTTTCAATAAAGCAAAAAGCGACAAATATAGACGACATCTTTTTGATTAATTTGTTTATTAAAGGATTGTGAAAGTTTTTGCGTGCATTTTTATACATTCGGTTTGTGGAAAGATGAAGAGGTTATCAGATGAAGATACTACCGATAGTAACTTACCTAGAATTTATGGCGTTTATGTAAACCTTGATATTGTTTATCTAACCATCTCAAATTCAAATTTCACGAATTGTCTCAAAATGAATAATAACAAAGAGAGAAAATTATATCATTGATTTGGCGAAACAATTATCCATTATCTTACGATAGGCTTTTTACAAATTCACGAGTCTTGATACATCAATTTACAGAGATTCTCCTTAGCCCTCAACATACAATGCTTCTCAAAATATTTTTGTCAAGGTAATCTGCAAACATCTCGGTCGTCAATGATCAAGAAAGAGTGTAACGGGATTATGAGCTAAAAAGGAACCGTGACCGAAAAAAATAAAATATAGTAGAGTAGAAAAGGACGTAAAATAAGTTATTAAATAAAGAATAATACGTTTCCAGCATAATTATTGTCTGAGGCTGCGTACAATTACACCCTCAAAAAGTTAAGACCAAATTTTTGTATTTGGGCAATTTAAAGATGACAAAAATGCCGAATATTATTTTTGGCTTCTATTTTAAATAGAATTTTATCACAGTTAATAGGAAAGTGGGTTGCTAACCAAGGCAGAGTTTCGCACAACCGTGATTAGAGCGTTTACAATTCGGTCGAATTTTTTTTACTTCATTTTAGAACAATAAGAAAACAGAAAGAAATGAAATTATGAGAAATTATGAGAAAATAATATTCTAATTTCTCAATCACACAATTCACGGCTCCTTTTTTCACCGTTGTATTAGCTAAGCAAGAAATGACACCGCGATTTTGATTACGGTTCGCGTAACTTCTGGGATCTGTCGGTCATATGAATAAAGTCGTGTTCTGACGAATGCTTATTTTCCTTCTTATAATGTATGCATAATACAATATCAGGATCGCCATCAGGGCATAAATTATACTGTAAAACGGCTGTTAATTTGGTTAGTTACTAAGATAATCTTAGAGTACGCCTATAAATAAATTGATGGAAATTGATTAATTTGGTTAAAATCACGAGGATTGAGTAACAATAGTGATAGTAATGTATATACTGTATACTTACGAATATGTGCGGCATACGCGACTGTAATAGTGTGAATTATAATAATTACAACGCCGTGATAGTACGAACGTATATGTTGTGCATTAGCAATGTTAAAAATCTTGACTTTCAATAAACATTTAAAACTAAAAAAAGAAAATAAATTTTAGTTTAAATTTAGATGTAATTTTTATAATATTTTATTGTAAAAGTATTAGCATTAAAAGATTATATTTTACTTTTTTTTAATAAAATTATGATATTTATTGTGTTCGATATTTATTTCTATGATCAAAGTCACGATATTTTATAATTCAAAACTCGGGATCGGCATCACATGTAACATCCTATTAATAGTATAGATTCAAAATTACCATAATAACCAAATTAATCGTCCGTTTTACAGTAGAATTTATGCCCTGATCGCAAACATAGGTCTCAGAGATTCATTGCATTTTCCACCTTTAAAACAATTAAAACAATTATCGTCTACATCAAATAAATAATATGCAAGTTCCCACGCGATAATACGGCGCAGGAGCTTTTTTCTTGGCTTAAGCGTTTAGTTATCGCAGTAATTTTCATTATCTGCCCGAGTATATTGTGTGCGAAAGAACCCAGTTTAATATAATACAGCAGTAATATTATTATTCTAAAATTGCTTGTACAGTAAATGTGACTTTGAAGACACGATCTGTTTAGAATTTATGAGATAAAACTGGTTACACAACGTGATAGTACACGTGTTACTATGAATGCTTTAATAAATTTCTGAATGATTTTGTGCTTGCGCCAATCAGATAACATAATTAATATTTTTCCAAGTCATGTGAAGGAAACGATGTAGCGTATAACTCAAGAGCAAATAAAAATAAAGACAAGTTACCAGTAAATAATTTAGGAACATAAGTTTAAGTCAAAAGTTTGATATTACAATGTTGAGTGTTCAAGTAATGATTTATTACCTATCTTTGTTAAAATTTATTTGTGAATGAAATGTAAAACCGGACGTTGAAGATACTACATATCGCGAGCTTAGAATTTGAGTTAATTGCTCCTTGCCCTCACAGCATCAATCACAATTTTTTCCACACAACAAGACTTTAAATTCATGAGATAACTATTTTTCCTTTCCAATTAGCTGTTATTATCCATATTCAATTTCTGATTTTATTTCTGACATACATTACCTGTTTTTACAGCACGTATACGTTCTCTTTTTTCAAGAGCACGTTATTCCTAATTTTCACACATATAGTAAATAAAAAGGTCATATTCGAAAAAATGGGATTTAATACAATATAAGAAAACCTTTAGTTATTACAATATCTGTTGTTGAGAAGAATCGTCGAACTTAAACTAGCATCTATGAGGCATCTAAAACATACCGACTAATTAGAAGGGGTGAATTGCATCTAATTCAAAGTACAAGTAATGTAATTCAAATATTCAAATAACTATAATCAAGGCTTTCTTTAAAAAATGACAAATAAAATCATCTAAAATATTTGGTGATTGAAGTAAAATACATATTGTCTAAAGGTCTTTGGACAAATTTTTAATTCATATTTTTATTTATAATTCAATAAATAATTTATAAAATAAAATAAAAACTTAAATATACATTGATAAGAATATAAAAAACAAATTTACTTAATAGTTTTTTATTAATATATTATTGAAATTCTTTAAAATTCATTGTTATATCAAAATCAAAATTTTATAATATATTATTTAATTAAATTACAATAAATAAATAAATAAATTATTTATAATAATTTTAATGCATCAATTTATAAAATAAAAACAAAATTAATTAAAAAACAACTTTCATTAAATTTTAAGTTGCTTATTTGATTTTTTAATTAAAGAAAGTTATCAAAATTTAATATAGAATACAAATTTTTTTAAATAAAAGAAAATTATGTACATTATAAAAAAACTTTTTTATAATTTTTTTAAAAAAATTTTTATATAAAAAAGTTATTTTTTCATCCATAATTTATATATAAATTTATATATATAAATTTATAAAAAAATTTTAAACAAACTTTTATAGTTTTAAAATCAAAATTTAAAATAAATTTATTAATAAAGTATTAAAAAAAACTTATTATTTTATTTTTTTACATTCTATAAAATATATTTTTAAAATTTTATAGCAAATAATTGAATATTTATTATAAAAAATATTTTTTCAAAGACTTTTTAGACAAACTGTATTATTTATAATAAAAGAAATAGTAAATTAAAGTTTTGTGAATATTTAATTAGTAATTTATTTTAAAATATCAATTTAAAGTGGAAAAAAAATTTTTTAAATGATTATAAATTTTAAATATAAATTTATGTATAAGTTCTATTTGAAAAATAAATTTTAACTATAGTAAATTTTTTTAAAAACAATCAATTATAAAATCAAAAAAAAAAAAATTAACTTAATAAAAAATTATCAAATGATTCTTATTATGTTTAAATAGTAATATTAAAATTATTTTATTTTTATTTTGTAAAATTAATTTTAAATTTTAAAATTTTAATTTTAATATGAAATTTATGTAAAATTTTAATTAAATTATTAAATAAAACAAAAATTTTTTAATAATAAAATTATAAAAAAATCAATTTACTATAAAATATATTATTTAACAAATTTATTTATTAAAATAATTTTAATTCTTTATTGATAATTTTTCTAATAAGTCTAAATTAATTACTTTTTTTAAAAAAAAATTTTAAGTTAAAATTTAGAAATATTTTGATAATATATTTAAAAAAGTTTATTAAGTAAACTTATTCTTTATGTTTTCAAATATATATATTTATTTATATTTATAAATTATATTTATTAATTATTAATATAATTATTCCAAATTTTTTTGAATCAGATTGTGTTTATTTATTTATATTAACATGGTTTTAAGTGTTCAATTTTGTTTTTTTAAAGTATAATTTTGATATTTATTATAAAACATATATATTAAAATCTTTAACAAAAGATATCAATTTATTTAAATATGTTTATATAATGGCTTATGATTCTTTTGTATATTAATTCTTTCTAAAAAATACATAATCAAATTATTATAATTGGTATTATACTGCATATTTAAAATTTGAATTAATTCGTAATTATACATATACAATGTATAAATTTTCATTTAATGACTAACTAATTATACTCATTACATCTGATATACAGTGTATGCATTCAAAATTAAAGACTAAACTTAAAATCGAATTTGGCATTTAAAAGAAATTCCATAATTCGTTATTAAATTATTTCTAACAAAAGATTATATCTATTGTAAAATATCAATTGCTATATTTATTTAGAAAAAAGGCAAGACGTGAGAAGAAGCCAACGTTGATAACAAAGAAACCCTTATCTTAAAAACAATCCATGCAAGTTAACCAAAATAAAGAGCCACGCGAGTAGAGTAGCTGATGCGAGATCTCGTAATGAACTGCGGTTACTGAGTTAGATGATTGTGACAGACCTAATTTGTCAAAAACGAATCTTCCCATAAACTAGAAAATCCAAGAATTGACCAATACATTCCATATTCACTTCAAATTATCGTGGACACACTAACCTTATTCTATATTCTAAATTTTATATTGTGTGTTGCTATTATTTTTGTGAACCATTTCAACGATCACTTGATTGTATTAGATACACAGCCACTTCTCTCAAAAAACGCCCCTAGATGATTTATAAATGTTGAAGCGAAATTCGAAATGCAACATTTATTTCTGTCAAATCTGGCATATTACTATATTGGTTCGACTATATTGAACTTTCCCCGGTCACGCTAATTCGTTTATCCGAACCCGAGTAACTCTTCCTTTTCCATGACTAGCCTTTCTACACTACTTTAATAAAAAATATTTACACTGTAATTTTTGTGTGCATATATCTCCCGAAAGCAATCCCAAGCAAGGCATCGACATATGAGAGTGTATTCTGAATGGTACATGAGACACCTGTTCAATTGCTCGGACCTTTGAAAGTCTACTCTATATTTTCGATGTTAAGCTTTCGCTTCATTATCTAAATCGCTAATTTGTTAAATCTATAATTGAATAAATATAATTTTAAACAGCGGACATTTATTTGTTGGAGTAGAGGCTTGAATAAAACACGTAAGGCAACCTGATCTGATGCTAAAGTTTGAGTTAATCTATTCTCGTACAAAAATTGACCCTTTCAAACCTTTTTTCCTCTTGGGATGTAGGCTGAAAGTCATCTCTCCTTTTACTATATCTAAATTTCTCCTTAATCATTTATATCGTACTCATAATACATCCTCAACGAAGAAATATCAATGTGCTCCGCTATCTTTTAAACACAATTATCGAAACGATGACAAGTCTTTCGAACTAGAATCCAAATATCTAACACACTCATCTTTTCGTTAATGAAAGATAACTTTCCTCAAATATATTGACACTACCCAAGTTCGCCCGACCTTTCCAGTCTTTGTAATCAAATGATCAATCTGGTAAGTCTGACATGACGTTCTTAGATTCGTTGCCAAACATTATCTTATCAATTATGATTTTTTAGGATTAAAATATTATACTTATTTTCATTAACCACTCTGATCTTTTACTTCTGTCTCGATAAGTTTTATATCCCATGCTATTAACAGTATTACTAATTGTTGGCTCAACGTTACGTTTAATAACCGTTAACTCCTAATGTAAGATTCAACTTGACGACTCTCGCATTTGTTGATATGGACTTTTCCTGGAACGATTCTACTCTTAGAAGTATCAGAAGACAAGTCCCGTAGGAATAGTGAGATTTGCCCATCAGTCGATTCATTATTATAGAAGCTTTTGTTTTTCTCCCTACCAAATTAGTCGTTTTCCTTGTATATTAATATGACCATAGGCTTCTGTTGAACTCGGTTTTTCGAGTTCTTTCTCAACGATTGCTAGAGTATTACAATCTGTTGATATTCAACCTTTTCAGATATTCCTCTAGCTACGCATTTTCAATTTTTGACTCCGATAAGCCTCTTCAACACTTGTGTTTATATTAATCGCATCATCCTAACTCCTATTTTATTCCAATATCCTTTTCATTGTGGTTGACCGGCTGTATCAGGATCAGATCTCGCGATACTTCAGCATATATCTGTCTTTATGGTCTGTTTATTTCGGTACTATTCTGATAGGGGATCGACAGCAGGACCGAATTATCGTCTCTAATCCACTTTCCTTTCCGTTAGTATGGAAATAATATTTATCCTTCATTCGACAGAATTTAAGCATATATATACTGTTCTAGCATTTTTGTACCTTGGTCCGACGGCATCGAACAAGTCAAGTAATTCTTCCGAGTAGAATCCGTCCTGTCTCGTGGAATCTAAATCTAAGTGAGTCGCTATTGTTCTTAAAGTATCTAGGAATACGTGTATATGGGTGCGTTTTACTTCGTATTTTTTGCTTACTATTTCTTCACTCAAAAAAAGAAAATTTTCTTGTGCGTTCTTTAAGTCTAAACTAATGAAACATATACCTTCAACAAATATAAAAAAAAAAAAAAAAGAGTTTCTCAATAAATACGATTGGTTAGATGCAAATTGATCTACAAACACTGTTTTCATTTCATTCGCTAACCTTAATTTTTGTATTATATCGCATCTAATCATTAAGCATGTACATTATGAACATATTACAGTAATTTAATTGCATGAAGGTCATCGTGGCCATCATACCATTACAGAACGTTGCGATCGTATTTTCAATCTGAATATTTTCTTCGTTTAAAGGAGTAATATTTCTATATCGTGTATTTAATGACAAACTCATGTTGAAAATTGAGTGTTTTTCTTCTTTTCTTATTCGCTTAACATTATTACGAATTTATTTTTTTTTCAATACTTTGAGTAATATACACTTTGTTTTTATCGTTATCGAAATCATTTTTTCGAATGGAATCAGAAGTGTCTTGTTTTTAAACAGTAATTTGCAATATTTGTAAGCGATCTCCATGACAATGGTATAAATTTTGAAACCATCGATATTGCTATACCTTAATTATGTTTAAAAACGTGATGTAAACCAAAAATGGTCTATCTCTGTTTTTGTCTATTTGATGATCAAATGCTGTAATTGATTTTGTAAAAAGAAAAATTCACAATTAAATTTTTAAAAACTATATTTCTAAATAATGAAGAATTTATTTTTTTTAATATAACATTAACTATACCATTTTTAATTTCAAGAATTTGTGCGAAAAAAACTTCAAAAAAAACTTTTTTTATCGATTTGGTATTTTAATAATTTTTTAAATAATATATACAGTATATGAAGTTTTTTTTTAAAAAAAGTAAATAAAATAGTGTAAATAGTTATTATTGAAAATAATATATACTGTATATATATATGATTTTTTTAAAAAAATTAATGTTAAATTTTTCATTAGTGCTTTTTTTTTTGAGATAATGAAATAAATACAATGTGAAACAAACACAATTAAAAAAATTTTTATTTTCATTTTCATTAATAATTTAATAATTAATTACATCAGAAAAATAAATAAAGTGATATGTATTGATAAATAATAATTAATATATATATCAATTATAATCCTCCGGCTGATTGTTATTAATTACAATAAATATCAATAAATATCAGATATTATTAATATTGATTTAAATTCATATGATTAGATAAAACCCAAAATTTATAAGTATAATAATTATTTTAAAAACAGTAAATTTTTATTAAAAGCAATTATATTTGTTATTAGCAATCATTAAGTTTAATACATATTGTTTAAGTAATTAATCTCTAATATTTGCTTAACATCAAATAATGTATCTTGTTTATCTTATGAAAGCAATATCAAATTATTTTGCTACAATGTATTTGAATTAACTTTAATTCTTGTTCTTGATCTTATTTATATATATATTGCAATTTTAGAAATATATATATATATACTGTATATATATTTTATAATTTTAAAATAATATTTTTTTTTTTTTTTGCAATATTAAAATAATTTTTTTTTGCAATATTAAAATATTTTTTTTTAATTTTAAAATAATATTTTTTTTTTATTATAATAAAATAAATGAAGTAATGACTTTGACTAATTTATGCATTAGAAAATAATCAAATTATTAGTGGCACTATAATTCAAAATAATGCTATAATAATGATATCAATTTATATACAATAAGTAATGCTTATAACCGAGACTTCTTAAATGCTTTATGCGCTTGTACAATTATTTTGATTTATTAAATTGTATTTATATGAATATTTTTCCTGCTGCTTATCTATTTCTCTATTACTAATCACTTCACAATTTATTTTCCTACAAACATCTTTGACATCACCATTAGTTCTTAATTACGATTAAACAATTTATTAAATTTTACATATTTTAGTAAAAAAATTATTCAAATATGAATTAAATTTCATCGTTGAAATTCGTTACCATATAGCAGCCTGTTAATAAGCCTCTGCTACCTCAAGTTAAATAGTTCAAGAACAATACAACTCTGATACTACTGGGTCTTCAGGAATAAGCCGCAGCTTTGTAAGTGCAATAGCCTCACTGTATAAA